ATCCTACGTAAAAGTAGGCTATCAAACACGGCTACGGCATGAAAAGATAAAATCACTCTTATGTAGGCAGAATATCAGAGTTGCCGATGAACCAATGTGCAAGATTTGATTTGAAACATAAGGAATGTATCATTCTATAAAAGATGATATGGTTTGTATGTAAAGTATATATCTTACTACAACTATTGAGGCGGATTTAAAACGTGAATATTTGGCTCTGAAAGGTTGTGAAGCACCGATACGCAGTGGCATGAGAACCACAAGAACAGTGCTTTCACATTTATATCTTGTATGGTGCTTAAGTGGATGTATTTCATCAAGTTATTATATACTATTGTGGACAAGCAACAACAGTTTGTAAATGTTGAGCACAACACAGTCTTGACTGACATCCCGCTGAGTGACGATTTGAGCCACTCGGAGGTCAGTGCATCGCTCAAGGGTCGATCGTAATTCGGTGTCGCTCGTTGAAATGGAGAACTCTTCCCCTCCACTTTCGCGCTCAATTGTTCGGCAGTCGGGGCTGAGATTTGATCCGACAGCCTCCTGATTGCAACCTTATTCTCTCCGTGTCAGGGTGTTACCGCCCCTCTGCATCTCTCTCAGACCAGTCGACTCTCTCCGGTACTGCGAGCCTTGGGGCGGACTCGGGAGGGGGGGGGTGTAACGTGCCCTTTGGGGTGCCCTTCCAGTGGGGGGGAAAAAACAAAGCACAGGGAAACGCCTATTAGGCCGCCCTACCGGTTGAAAATACACGAGGAATTGATCTAAATGTTCCAGTGGAGAAAACGTGATTTCAGGAAACAATGGGGCCTTAAAATGAAGAACATTGATTGGGGCACATTAGCCGGAAAAACTAAAAAAACAGCGTTCCGCGTGCTGCCACCCCTTTTTGCTTTTCTTTTTTCACCATCAGACAGCCCGAGTCCACCACTGCTTTGTGCACATACGCTCCAATGCTCGCATACAGATCTATGCAGAGCCTCTTTTTCCAAACGCACACAGCGGGCCGGCTCTGGCTTTCCTCCTGCCTGCAGACCTCCGGTTCCCTCAGTTATTCATGAGCCATCTGCTCGGGCGATCGCCGTGTCAGATGTGTGTCAAACAGGACCTCGTCTGTCCCCCCTCTTCATCTCCTGGTTGCGTCCTCGTTTTGCATGCCGAAGCCGCGACTGATGCGGCTGCATCGATGGTTAGCTAAGGGACTCCAGAGTGACTCTCTGGTCCACAATGTCATAAATAACCAGTTTGATCAGATGTTCGCATCTTTTTTTAAGATCGTAGCATGTGGTTCATTAATGTTGTAAAGGGAAAGCACAAGTCTGTATTTGGTCGCTCTTGTGTGTGTTTGTTTTGTGTGTTTGCGTTCTTTTAGGAAGTGGCTTGAAGAGGACTCTTTTTTTCGATTATAAGCAACATGCATTTTTACTTTACAGCAGTTAAGATGACAAAAAGGTGCAATTAGAAAGTTAAAAATGGAACTGAGGTGTTCCTCTTTGTGTGTCGGGCCATGAAAAGGGCCACTGTGGCCCTCTGATCACAAGCGTCTTCCTTGTGAAGATGCCCTTCCAGCAAATCGCTCTGCAATGCGCCGAAGAAGACATTTTATTCCCTTCAGCGTAACTTTTTCACTCGGGCTATGCAGTAAAATATCTTCAAAGGAAACTTAAATGGAATATTCTCCTGGTCAAGCCACGACAGTGACTGTAGGCAGCCCACTCTCGCCTCTCAAAGGAAGTACTTCATCACAGTGTACGGGAGTGGAAAGAGAGAGCACGGATTTTGGAATGTACTCCACAAAGTTACATTTAGGTAATATGGAAGTTTAAAAATGTAAATGATTGGTGAATAACTTGGGAGTCATAAATTTGCTTAGTGAATAGTTATTGTTCATCAATGCTCGACAAATAGTTTTGGGCGATGTTTAAAATGGTTGACGTTGTTTTTGTCTTGAAAAATAGCAGTGAACACCAGACGGGAGAGCAGAAGGAAGCCAAATAGTGGACGCGCTTTAAAGGGAAATGAATAACAAAAAAAACACACAGGCATGAACATTAAGGTAATAAACAAACAGTAAAGTGGAGCCTCATTCACACACACCACAAATATATAAACTCCACAGTTTGAAAATAAAAACACTGATAAAAATAATGAGGAATATACTCAAAGTATTTGTGTTGACTGCTAATAGGAACTTTTTGTTTGTGAGTTTCCAAGTCTGCACTGTATCTTATTGCCCTTCATTATTCTCAGTTTGCATATTATAGATATGCTGTATTTGGCCGTGCTAAAATTGGGCCTCGTACAACTGTCAGTTTCACCACGTTTCTTCCTTTGAACACGATATAAAAACGATTCATGCACGCATGGATGGATCCACGCTAGTTACATGACCTTAGCGGGAGGATCATGGATATAATAAATGCAGCCCCGCCTCTGAGCAACACCGTAATGTAGGATTTCAGAAGGGGGGGGGGGGCTCTGGAGAAGTGCTGTGATTCATCTCTGACACAGACATCGCTTCCACTCTGGGCCGAAGGGATGAGACTGCCATGTTTGCCGTCCTTGCCCGATCCGAAAGCCCTTCAAAGTAAAGCCGCCGTGATGAATGGGCGAGGCCCTCCGCATGTGACGTCCCCGCGTGCCCTGCGTGTCTGTTGCAGCTCGCCGCGCCCGGGGAAGGCTTTGAATGCGTGACGTGTTTTCACAATAAGACAAAAAAAAAAAAAGGAGCGCTCGGTTCTGCGTGGAACTTTAAAATATTCCAGCATCGCATGCAAATGAGCGAGTAGCGATGCACTCATACAGTGAGTAAACAAAGCCGCATGTGCCCACTCACACCGCCGCTGCGTTCTGTTCTGCTGCTGAACGTGGTCTCCTATAGCAGGCTTCATGTCAGGTCTCGGCCAATATCTCCCCCCCGAGAAATGGTGATAGACCAAAATCAGCCCAGAGTGTCCTCGGCCGCATCACAGGGTTTGTGGAGAATTTGTGTTTTTTTACCACAAACACTTCAATTACTCCAGCATGGGAGCTTTGTCACTGCAGATCACTGGCTGCCGGCCCTCCTGCCATACATTGTCAGGCTTCTATTTTAAATATAGAAGTGTTGGTCCAGGGGGAGGGGGAGGGCGTGATTTGATGTGCTTTATTCAAAGCTGAAGGGGCCACAGTGTCTGTTGGAAGGAAGCTAAGAGGCTTGTCTGCTCTCAAACAGATTGATGATTGCTACTGTACAATAATATAGTTCTCAGAAGAGAGGCCGGGCAGAGTCTGAAAGAGGGAGGCAGATCCCGAAGCCGTGTTCTGACACGGCAGATAGGGGAAGATTAAGGGTCGAAACCAAAGCTGGAAGGAGACGATAAGGAATGGATTTTTTTTTTTTGGGCCACCGCAACCGTGCCGCTGTATGTTAAGATATTTAAGTTTGTGTCAACAAACGGCTTAACATGAGTCACTTGCTGTGTAATCTTCGCAGCGTTTTAGATCTGGGGTAGAGACAAGAAGGCGGTGACGCCGATATAAAGGTGGGAGAGCGACATTGTTGTCAAGAGTGAGAGGTGTGCACCGCGAAGTCATGCATGAGTTTATTGGGAAACATAAAAAAAAAAGTGATGTATTAGACTGACTTCAACGCAATCAACATGATGCGTCAGAGAAGACGCCGTTGGTGAGGGAAATATAATTGGGACGGAGTTGATGACGCCGTGGGGCTCGCGCTGTCACTCAACACATGATGCCAAACATATTATGCCGAGAGCTGCGGAAACCAAGGCTTTGACGTGCGACGCGTGGGTGGAAATAGCCTGTTAATGAATAGACGGGGAAGGAGGGGGCGGAGGGGGGCGGGTGAAGACAGCAGAGGAGATACACCAAGCGTGCTGTGCGATAAAATATGGCTATTGTTAAGCAGTGCTGGGGGGGGGGGGAGTGCTGCGATGCAGAAAGAGTGGAAAGTCTTGACAGCTTTCCGGTGGCAGTCTTGACGGCTGAGCTGGGAGATCGCAAGGAAAGTGCAGCAGAGGGCTGCTGTCAGGCTGCTCCAGAGCTCCGTTTAACAAGGTCCAGAGATGAGCTGCACCACAACACATTGCGGGGGAATGAGAAGAGGGCGAGAGGCGGCGGGCCAGGGGAGGGCTGAGTGAGGCTCATGCATTTTCCAGAGCCTCGCTACCTGTCAAACCTGCATGCCCGGGATTCCTCACGTGTGCATTGGGAGCAGAGATTAGAAATCCCCCCCACCCCAGTAAGGACAGCAGCTGAAGTGGATTGAAGGAGAAGCTCCTGGAGAAGCCCGTGATACTCTGACACCATCATCTCTCCGTGAGCACCAACATATGCGCTCCCTTTTTACCTTAATTGCACTTACAGTGACAGTGTAACGTCAGCAGGGATCTTTCGCATGTGATAAAACAGCCCGTTTCCCTTGTCCCGCCCCTGGGCCCGGGAGCTGATCCGCGGCAGAGGACGAGCAGAAATAATTAATGCGAGCAAATGCGGAATACGCCTTATTTTAAAACATGGATGCCTTCGGGCCAAACACATCCAAGGATCTTTACAAGCTGTGCCCAGAGTTCTAACCGCACCTCATCTCATCTTCCCGCTGCGCTCGGAAACAATGCTACAGGCTACGCAGTGGAAAGTCTGGTGGGGCCGCCGCTGCCCTCCTCCCACCTCGCCCCCAGGCTTCAAGCATGAAAGCTTATCTCCTTGCGTCAGGCTAAATGTCAACTTCAGGGACGCTGAAACACCATCCGTCGTTACGTCCGCCCTATTAGAGCAAGCTAATTCCACATAAAAGCCACCCACCCCATTTGAAATGAGTCAGCCTTCACAGATCTCTCTTTAGCTGTTTAGTTCCTCACGTCAGGAGAGGAGGCAGGGAGGAGATGTGTCCCCTGACCCAAATAACACTGCCGTGGAAAAACAGAAAAATCACTGTGACAGTATGTCGAGGATTATTGTCTAACCCGTTGACCCGTGTTTTTCTGTCTCTGCAGGGGGGCGACTCCTCTTTCTGGTGATGTGGCTGAACCTCGTGCCTCAAACCGCCGGCTGCCCCGCCAAGTGCGTGTGCTACAGCGAGCCCCGGCCCACTGTGGCCTGCCAGCAGCACGGCCTGTTTTCCATCCCTACCGAGATCCCCGTGCGCAGCCAGCGGATATTCCTCCAGAGCAACAAGCTGACGGTGGTGAGGTCCACCAGCTTCAGCTCGTGCCACAACCTTACAGTTCTCTGGCTCTACTCCAACAACATCAGCTACATCGAGGCCGGAGCCTTTTACGGCTTGGAAAGGCTGGAGGAACTGGACATTGGCGACAACGGCAACCTCCGCACCATCAGCCCCACGGCCTTCCGAGGCCTAACTAAGCTGCACACCCTCCACCTGCACAGGTGTGGTCTGTCAGAGCTCCCCGTCGGGGTTTTTCGAGGAATGTTTTCCCTACAGTACCTTTACCTGCAGGACAATAACATTCTCAGCCTGCACGACGACACCTTTCTGGATCTTGCAAACCTCACCTATCTCTATCTGCACAACAACAAGATCAAGATAGTAACAGACAACATGTTACGAGGGTTAATCAATCTGGATCGGCTGCTGCTACACCAGAACCGGGTTATCTATGTCCAACCTAAAGCTTTCAGCGATCTGGGTAAGCTGAAGTCCCTGTTCTTGTTCTTCAACAATCTCACCGTCTTGACAGGAGAGACCATGGACGCCCTGGTGTCTCTCCAGTATTTGCGTTTAAACGGGAACCAGTGGATCTGCGACTGCCGCGCGAGGACCTTGTGGGACTGGTTCAAGCGTTTCAAAGGCTCCAGCTCTGAGTTGGAGTGCAATGTTCCCGAGCTCCTGACGGGGAAGGACCTGAAACGACTGAAAAGTGAAGACTTGGAGGGGTGTGTGGAAACTCCTCAAGTCCAGACCAATCTCTTCAGCTCCAAGGGGCAGGGCGGGAAGTTCTCTTCCACTGAGAATCCTCTCGGAGACACCATTCCCAGGTGTTGCCTCGGAGATAACGACAAGTCCTCCATCCTGTCCGGCAAGAGCCGACAAATCACCAACAACCCGCTTAAGGAAAAGGAGAACATGTCTAAGACTAAATATAAGGAGCCGGAACGAACGAAAAATGAGACCCAGAATAAGCAGAATGACGGACCTCTGGGAACCTTGTCCAACACCCTGGACAAAACCCTGGAAAATCTAAACCCTGACCTCATAGACAGTCTGGAGACATCAACAGCATCGAACAAGAAGAAAAAGAAGTGCTCCAAAAAGCCCAAATCAGATGCCCACTGCATCAAAGGCCGGGGTTCCACTTTGCAAGCGCTGCACTCTCTCTTCATTCCCATGATCTGGATATCTCTAGCCATGTCTTAGGATTCTTAACCTCACTTTGAACACAGAAATCAAGATTGTTGATGCTCGTGACAATGACAGGAGGAGATGCGGTGACAGACAGTGACTGAAAAGCGAGGCGAGGACAAACAATGATAACCAAGACGTTAAAGTATACATTTGACAAAATGGATGCCTTTACAGAACACTACAGATCTAATGTATATAACGAATCGGTGCCCTAAAATATTTGTTCTCTATGTACTTAACTGTACCGTGTCAAAGCCACACTGCGGAGTCTCCTCCCTTTTTTCCTCTCGAAAGCTTTTACTGCTTAGACAGACCCCCGAAAGTAAAAAAAGAAAGAAAAAAAGAAAAACAAGACAAAAACAAGAAAACAAATACATGAAATCGGTGATCAGAGGGAACACAAAGAATGTTGGGTCGGTTTAATGAAGATAAACGATCTCCTCCCATTATTTATTCAAAGTGATGCATTTGTTATGGGTAATGTTATGTTTTTTATGTTCATAAAAGCAAATGTTTTGCCTCCCCCACATTTTAGTTATATTTTCATGACAGAAAGGGTTTATGGATAGCATTTACCAAAAGAATGCTGTTGATTTGTTCATGGAGATTGCATTGAAACCATAGATATGCATTTTATTTTACTTGTACAAGTATGAATATATTATGAATAAAAGTTCTTATTTCGTAGATATTTTTGTGTGGTATTTCCCGCTACAACACAGCACATGGAGTCCGGCTCCAGGACATGCTGCTTTCGTCTTTGATGGTATTCCAAGTTTAGGTTGGACAAGAAAAAACTTATTTAAGCAAGTGGGTTGGAAATTCAAAAAGAAATAATCAATAGATCAACTCTCTGCGTTAAAAAGGTTACTGGACTGAATACTTGGCAATAAGAGTAGCACATATTTGTTCTCACCAACCACATTGAGGGCTGATTACATTCCTCCTCCCAAACAGTTGGGCTCTACTGCGGTGAGTTCTGGCCTCAGCCCAAACCTCAGCAGCTCAGATTTAGTTTTTTTCTCCTCTGCCTTTTAAGGATGTTGGGACGGCAGCGCTCGACTTCTGCTTAATTATTTGTGCGACAATCTCCCAAACACTGTCAATTTCTGCCAATTACGAACATCTACAAGTCTTGAGTGACTGCTGCATGTGCAGTATGATGATGTTGAATGAAAAGCTGTAGGCGCCTTAGCACATTTCTGCAAATGATTGCACCCACATTTGTATATTGCAAACAATGCCACATTTCGTCTTATTTCAAGTGAATTATTTAGCAGTGTGTGAAAGTTCTGTGGGAATGTTCAAAAAGTGACTGCACACATCACATCCTCAAGGTTGCGAGCGGAAGAGACCCCCAAGGGATCGTGGTAAGCACTTTCTTTCATGATGTAAAAAATACAATATAAAAAACTTTGAAATTACCTTTCACACAGTTCTTTTAGCGGCTAGCTGCCTGTGGTGTATAAATACCCAGGAATCTAATATTCTATACCGAATTATGTCGAGATCTTGGTGACGGCTGTTGAAGAGACATGATTGGAAGGTATAGCGCCAACCCCCCCCAAATCCTCCAAGCTTTCAATCGTCGTCACTGAACCCCGGGGAGTGGGTGGACCGAAGGGCACCTGAGAAGAGATTGATCCGGAGTAGAAATCAACAGGGAAAATCAACAAGGCCCCTCCAACAGACTGCCAGTACCCTCCGCTGACATGCAGTCTGAGAGGACGCAAGTAATTGTATCCGACGCGGTCAGACATCTCCTGTATATCTGCCCCGGCAACCGTCAGAGAAAGCTCTCCCTACCTGAGACTCATTTATATGTTAAACAGTTCAAATGACTACCTCTGTATTCCAACTGCACCTCTGCTTTGGAATTACAACCAGTCTTGGGATGTTGTTCGCTGAATGGAGACGTATATTCCCAGATATACTGAGAAATACTGTAAATTATGAAAAATTATCTTTTCATATTTAACATGGATTCAAAATACAAATAAAAAGTTCATTACCTCAAGGCAGTTTTTTCTTTTTTATCCCGTTAGCTCTGTTTTCCAAATCAAAAAAAAAATAATTGGGGGCATCTTTAGCACATTACTGAAAATGTCACTTAAAAGGAAGGTTGAATAACTTCTGCTGGCATTTTTATTCTTCTGTCAGCTATAGAGGCTATCACCATTCACTCTACCATTCAGTAAACCCTTCGGTTTGTATCAAACTCCCTGTTGAGAGAGACACAGAGACGTATCTGCTGCGCTGGAAGGAATCACCGCTGCGTTCTATATTTTATAGTCCTTGTCTTGGATTGTTACTTAAAAGGGGCTTTTCTGACTTCAAGAGAAAGCTTTTTAATTGAATGAGCTTGATAACCAGAATAATTTTCAACCTGGCAAACACAACGCCTGCAGATTCGAGACTTTGAAAAAGAGACTCACGCTGAGAGGAAGCGAGACTTCCTCCTGGCTCCGTAACATTCGCAACGTTTGGCAAGATGCAAGGATCCGCCTCCACGACGACATCCCATCTTGCTCACACATAGGGGGGGGGGTTTCTCTCCCTGCATTCACCTATCCATCGTTCAAAATCATCTCCCTCTCAACTGACCTTTTACTATCACATTTTTATGCCGTAAACAGATTTTTTTTATAACCAAATTTGAGCTTTAAATATTCAACAAACACCACCCACCCCAATGAGTAACTCATTGGTAACCGTTAAAAATACACATTTCTTCTTGGTTCTTCTTGATCCGCTGAGAACAACATCTCTATGGCCAATATCTCCAAACACAGGCAACTTAAATCGAATCAATCTGGATTCATGTACAGGAGGAATGTACTTTAAGTTCTCATTTCTGGACCGCCAAACTTCTTCAAAGTGTCTCGCTTCCACACACGCGATAACAAACACCAACACATCTGGGTCATTCCTTTTTTTTTTTATTCCCTAGCTTCCCCAGCCTGGGGAGACCTTAGCAACCCACCGCCCCTGTTCTCTTTTTTTCGAACCCCCAAAGTGACAGCGAGGCCGCCGCTCCTTTTAACAGGGCCTGAAGACAGGATGACCTCAGCCTGCGGGCGCCTGCTGGACCGCTCGCACCAGACAGTGCCACAACTGCCCCACCCCCCCATCGACCCCCGTCTCAGTTTTACCCTCCTTTTGCGCTGATGAAGGGGAAATCAAGCTAATTGGGCAGTCCATCTGCAGTGCGGGTCCAGATGCAACATGGCCGAGCATCTGGGAATGGAAATAACTTCCTGCACCAGAAGCTCTGGTAGGAAATAATCAGCACGGGAAAATGTTAAGCTGTTGTTTGTGCTCTGCAGCAGACATCCATGTCAATCATGCTTAAAACAATCACAAACTTCTTCTCAAAAGCGTTGGTTAAATCTTAATATTTCATCATAACGCTTTGAATGATTACTTATAAAAAGTATTTTTTTCAAAATGGATGTCAGAAACAAATAAGTCAACTTGTTCGAAGTAGTTATGGAAGTGGAATTCTATGACAAATAAATCCGCAGTGACTCCTGGTTTCACGCGGCCCACAAGTCAGCATTTATTATTAATTAAACAGTCGGATAGGAGTTTTTTGAATGAATGTTTTGCACCATTTAATAATTTTTCAACTAGCGATCTGGAAATTTAAAAATAAACAACCGTTTTTTTCCCCCATTATTTGAATTGTTACTAAGTATACCGATCATTTGGAGAAATAATGGACATCATGACAAACCAAAGCTTTCCATCAAACTAAAAACTGCTTAAGGCTGAAACTCCAAAATAGAAAATATTAAAATGTTTGTTTTAAAACCTTTTTTGTTTTGGAGATAATCTCCTCTCCAACAGCCAAAAACAGAATTCAGTAATGCAAAGATAGCATTGCAAAACCCGGGGCCAAGCTAATGGTGATGAAATAAAATTATAATTAGTACTCCGGCTAAAATGTCACCTTTTTCCTCTTTTCCTTCTCTCTCTTAAGAACAACGGCAGCTTCCTTGTTTCTTTTGGATGTGATTATTACTCATGCAAATGTGGTTCTGATCGAGTGGAGTCTACATATGTACAGACATACATTTATTTTTTACAGAATTATTGTTTGTTATTGATATTCATTTTACTACTATTTATCTTTTGATGGTGTAAATATGCACTTGGGAGGTTTTTCCCCGTCACAAATTTTCCTGAATGTTCATTTCATACTTCTAATAATTAAATCAGTCATCTCAATTGTTCCAAGATTGTATGATATGGTTTTTACTGTGATTTAGTCAATCTTGATATTGTTTTTTGTTTTCATTAGGTTTCTTTAGCTCCTTTTCAAGATCTTTACAAGAAGCTCTCGGCTGAAATATGTTTGTTTTGGCTTTTTTGTGCATTATTGAAAGTATTACATACACTACTCTTTAGGATTTGGGTGTAGATAATAACCTTTAAATTCAAAAATTTTCGTAATTTATTCCTTGATCATTTATGTAAAATATTTTAATTACCAAAAACTCCAGGTTACAAGGTCAGAGCTCTCTGTTCCAATTACTCATACTTAGATTGCATGTAGCTCTGCTAACCTTTGTAAACAATCTTCCAAAGGAAATTAATTTAAATAAATCCCCACCGGTTTGTGGAAGTCTCTCACTGCAAATGACCCGTCTTCATACATCCTTCCAGCAGACGCAACGGGTGTCCTCTGGAAAACACCACCCTCTTGATCATCAGCAATAAGCCTTTTTTTCTCTAGCTTCAGTGAATGTGAGTGAAATATTTGAGTTTGTGGCTCGAGGCGAAGGCTTATGTGAGAAAGTTTAGAAACGCTCTGCAGAGACGTCGCAGACTGCACGGAGTGTTTGCCTTCTGTTGTGCATACCAAGCGCTCCCTCTAATTCGCTCTCTCCACTTCTGTCGCTCTCTTCCTGCTCTCCTCGTGCTCACCTTTCGTCAGATGTACCCAGTCGGTTTTTCATCTGCAGGAAATGTCTTTGAATGAGTTGTGCAGATATATAATGTGTTTTGAGACGGTTGGAAAGTATTCAAAGGTACAACTATTCTCGACAAATAAAGTATGTGAAGTGCTTTCTCCTTGACAGTTTTATTAAAGTAGTACACAGTAGTGGGTACTTTGCATGCTGTAAAGCCAGTTACTTAAAGCATTTGTTCAGTCTGGGTTTTTCAGTTACCAAATTCCCAGAATATACGAAGTATAGGTATATATATTTTACATTTGCACTCAATTCGCTTCATATCAAAACAATAGAAAATGATTTACACGCTCATAAACTGTTGGAGAGACATTTAGCTAATGTGCATTAAATGCTTGTAGAACATTTGAGGGACTGGGCAAAAAAAAAGAAATGTAGAACCACTCAAAACTCCCTCAACCGCAGGAAAATTAGAACAATATAAAAAATGTGACGTGGGTGATGGAAGATGAAACAAGCAGATAAAACAAAGGATTAGCATCTACTGTGTGTATATGAAATGATTTCACTCGCCTATGAAGCCACAGCCCTTAAACTCTGTATGATAAAGTTAAAATTCATGTTCACATCATCCAGTAGTTTTGAACCTTCCCGGTGAAATACAGCTCACTACAATGACTACCAATGCTTTCAGTATTCTCTCCAGCCAACGCCAGACTGTATCGGCCTCGGTCCCCTGGAGCCCACTCTAAAGGTCAGATCAGAAGGACCTT